ATGCTGCTTGGCCTGCCGTGTTCATTCAGCTCTACACCTTGTTATCTCAGATTCTCCAGCATCGGCAGTTCCTACTATCTCTGAATCTATTATTCTATTAAGCTTTCCAATGGAATTAGGTTATTCCAATTCTTCTTTCTTTTGTTTGTATTTTAACTATAGTGTAAGAATAATATAGTGTGTTTTGCATCAAGCCTGGTAATTTGACCCATCAAATTGTATCCGGAACACACTGCCTCACACTTGCCTTGTAAAAATCAGAAAAAGTTAGGGTCTAGGCTATCTTCTTAATATATTTTGAGGGGGTTTAGTTTGGTCCATAATAATGTGGAGAGAAAGATTCCATGGCTGAAGTTTCCACCCAAATTCCTCGCTACTAGTTTAGCTGGATGGGTGATGGTATGGCAAGTTTCATTACCAACGAGGAACCCGCCCCACTGCATTTTCTTCTCACAGTCATACAGCATGGGAAAGGGCCGTTCTGCCCAACTCGTCCATCCTAATCTATATAATATTGTCTAGAGTTTGTAATGCCCAGAGATTTAATATGTTCAGAGGAATCACCAGTCATTGTAATTATAGACTGAAATTCAAAAGCAACACACAGCAAGAATTTTAAAGCATTAACCTGTTGCGAATTATTCCAAGCTATCCAGTCAAAAATTATTACTTTTGTGATGACTGCATCTGTAAAGTAGTTTATCTTTATTCTGTTAGAAAATGTTTTGTAGTCAGTTAATTTTATATCTAAATGGAAACCTATTGTAATTCAGAAGATCAAGTGTCTGAATACAAGCTGGATAAAAATAATTAAAATCAAATCATTTTACCTGTAGTGCATCCTGGAACTGAACAGCCTCCTGCATTGCTTCATCCAGCCTGTCAATGCGATCTTTCCATGCCTTGTTCAGAATGTCCCAGGTACAATTCAGCTACAAACAAACAACATTATCAACCTTACCATACCTTTTACCAAAAAGACATGACTGTTAAAAACCTCCCAGGTACATTTTCCTCCCTATGTCCTATCCAATTTCACTATTCTTGACAATATCAATTTTTGCTGAGTACAAACTGTTACCAGCTTGCATCACTGCAATGAATGTTAATTAACTAATCAAACAGAGGGACATCACAACTGAAACTGAGCTTGATGTGGATGCAATAGCCTGGCAGCTGTGGTCAGTGAATGCAATGCCAATCAGAAGTGGAAACCCAGGCTGCTTTGCTTCTCCTGAGGAGTACTAAGGTCAAAAGTACTGACCTCATGCTGAGATATGCTGATTCAGCTCAACCCAAAGATTGTATCTAGAAATCTACTTGGTTACATGGCATACGATGTAGTTATTCACTGAGTAACCAGTGGAGTTAATCAGCTTGGGGGCGTTACTACAATGTTTCGGCTGTGGCCAAATAGGTAATACTTTGCATAACAGTCAGGAAGTTGCATCTTCATGACCCACTTCAGAGACGTTAACAGTTAATCCAGGCTGATACTGCAGTCCAGTATTGAGGGAGTGCTGCAATGCTGAAAGCCTGTCTTTCACTATGACATTAATTTGAGGCCTTCTCGCGGGATTTGGCAAGTGGTAATTATAAAGAAACAGGGAGAGTATCCTTGTGTCCTGGCCATTATTTATCCTCTATCTGGTCACTATAACATTACTATCTGTGGGGGCTTTGCTATGCACATATTGGCTTGTCATGTTTCCTCCATTCCAATAGTGACTGTTCTTCCAAAATACCTCATTTGTTATAAAGCAGTTTGCTGGTCATGACGGATGATCTACGAAATGAAAACAAAACCTCACAAACATGCCATCAGTAATAGGTGCACAGCTCTTCCATCCCCACCTGGCTAAACAAAGGGAAATTCAGCACTTGGGACTGTCTCAGCCAGAATCAAAATATAGCTTGCCATTGTACTGCCCTCTACAACAGGCCCATCATAGCCAAAATCTTACTGAGAACAACAGGGAATCAAGTGTCCAGTAGAATGGGGAGAAAATAAATTGATGTGTTGCTGCTAATGCTTGCTGGGAAATTTGCTGTCATGGTATGCCATGTTTGTCTGTCGTGCATTGTCCTCAATACAAGTTAAAAAAAATGTTAGTCCTGTAGAAATTACTGGGACTGTGTAGTGACAAGTTCCCTGGACCTAATAAGCTGCATTCTCTAGGTTTTTAAAGGAAGAACCTGCAAAGATTGCAGTTGTATTAATTTTGATCTTCCATAAATCCCTTCTTGATCAGTTCCAAAGGATTAGAACACAGCAAACACAATTCTGTTATTTAAGAAAGAAGACAGAAAACAAGGAACTATAGGAAAATGAGCCTAATATCGATCAGCAAGAAGCAAAATGCTAGAACTGATTATTAAGGACTTGGTAACAAGGAACTTGAAATTCATAACAGTCATATATTCTACCCACAGACCAAACATATGGCTGCAAATGGATGTTGGGACTATGTGGATGTCCTGATGTCCAGACATATATGGGAACTGACTGGGAAGTTTAAACTTCCAATGAACTGATATCTTTCTGCACAAGACGCTCCACAAGTGTCTCAGATCCTGAACCAGAGTCAGAAGCTTGAGATAGTTCTGAAGTATGCACCTGAATGGTTATTCAGGTTAGACAGATAAAAACAGTCTAACGCATTGCTTACTCTTCAACTGACTTCCCCATCCGCAGCAAGACCCTACCAAAATACCATCAGACTATACCCTGCCCCGAACCAACTACCCTTTCATACCTGACTCAGCTATCCACTCACCTACTTCTACACCTCATTCACCCTACCCACTTATCCACTAGCATTAATATTGGACCTTTAAACTTGCCTAAATAAGGCAGCTACTGTTGCAAAAAGGGCTCTCCCCCTTTCACCATGTTTCCTGGTTTGAGGGGGTTGTCCTATGAAGAGAGAAGGAGTAGAGTAGTCCTATATCTCCTGGAGTTATGAAAAGCAAGGATAATCTAACTGAAGCATAAACTTCAATTGAAGATCAGCAAAGTTGATACTGAAACTTATTTTTCTGTCTAGGAAATCTAGAACACTGGGTCACCATTTCAGAATAAAGATTAAGCACGGTGATCTGAGATAAGGAGAAATGTCTTCACTAAAAGAATTGTGAATTTTTGGACTTCTCTGAGAGCTATGGAATTTCAGTCATTGTGTACATTCAAGGAGGTTCATAGATTTTATTTTGTACACTAGATGAAGGGGTAAGGAGATAGGTCAGGAAAGTACCATAATCTTGTTGAATGGTGGAGCAGACTTGAAGGGCCAAATGGTCTGTTCCTGCTCTAATTTCTAATGGCCGTGAATTCCAAATATTGTGATGCTTTCATTCGTCATATTCAACAAAAGTGGTTGCTCAATATTTCTCCATGTGAGTGAACGCAATCTCAACAGTCAAATTAGGTTGCTTCACTCATCATGTGGTATTGTGAAGAGCAACTTCACATTCATCGCAAAACTAAACACCTTAAGCATCCTCCTTCTGAACTGGTTGGTTTCAATAGAAAATGGTTCTTTGACCTGTGTGTTTAATTCTCTCAGAACACATGCATGCATACCTCATCTATATTTTTCTTCACCACAGGTTTATCGGGCTCTCCACAGGCTGCAGTCAACTCAGCTCCAAGGTTCTGAACTATCTCCAGTTCCTCCTGAAGACCATCAACCTCTTCTTTGATTGTCTAGAGAAGAAAAATGAGGTCAAATAAAGTGTAAGAATGTACAGAAACGAGAAAAAAATCTGACAAAGGAAGCAGCGGTCCCTCTAAATTTAAAACTACTCTTCCCAAGATACTCTACATTCTCAAACACTTTTCTCCTACACTTCAAAAGAAACATTTTTCCAATCCCCTCTTGCAAAACTGGATTATGGCTCCACAGTTATCTTTATGTTCTCTGCCCAGATATCAACACACATATGTACAGAAATGGACTGGTTGTGAAATGTAGCCATTCATTAATATTTCCTCACAGCGTCCTCTCTCTCAACTTTTTCAATGGATATCTTCACGCAATTAAAAGTCAATTTAAATCTTTCAGACTTAGTGTGATTCCAGAGGAATATGAATGCACATTAAAATTATGATAATCTAAAAAAAAACAGAATTAAACAGAGAGTGTAAAAGCTATCAATTCAATGATGTGAGCGTTCAGACTGTCATGCAGACTTTGGGCTTCGTTGGAAACTCAGACCAAGTGTTCCAGAAAGTAGAAGTTATCACTTCCAATGAGGACACTTTTGCATCCACGCAACCTTCTACCTTACAGATCTACCATCTCCAGTTTTGTACATCGAGAGCTACAGTACAAGAATATAACATTAATATTTCACTCTACTACATTTGTTACCAAGCTTCTACTTCTTCAGATCAATGCACAAAGGCATACCTTTGACAATCTGAACCAAGCCATAGTGTGATTTTTTTTTTATTTTACCACAACTACAGCAAGGAAGCAGGCCGTGAATCTATCTAAGCTTGACCAGGGATTGAACCTCGTGCTACTGGCACATATTAGTTGTCTAGCCAACTGATCTAACTGGTTCACAATACCGAAGTCACATTTTAGAACAAAGAACTGTACAGCACAGAAACAGGCCCTTCAGCCTGTATTTTAAAATATTATAAAAATATAAATCAATTCCCTCAAGTAAGAATGGTATACACATTTGCAGAACATGTTTATATAATCATTATTTATGCATAGAACAGCAAGGACAATGGATGGTGCAACAAGAAAGGCCAGTACGACAGGATTCCTGACCTCGAGAGCCTCTTGCTGTTCTTTAACAACTGATGGATCTATTCCGGGTTCCTCCAGTTCTCGAATTAAGTCCTGGGTGTCTTTAATAGTGACAATCAGGGCGGAATGATCACACCAGAATTTTTCAGCCAGGTCCATAGCATCGAGCAGCTTTGCCTCCCGCTCCTCTGCCCGAGCTTTGATGTCAGCCCAGTAGAAAACCATCTTGTCCAACTGGTCCTGAACAGCTGAAAGCACAATAATCTTATCAGAAAGAAGTTCTCCATCAGGCCATGTTAGTTTATGGGTGGGATACCATGGTCAAATGGTCATGTTATTGGGTAAGTAGTTCAGAAGTCTGGACTAACAATCTACAGAATTGCTATTGGCGATTTTGAATTAATTTTTAATATGTCATCAATAAATATGACCATGTTGTGAAAATCTGACCAGTTCACAAATATCCTTGAGGCAGGAAGTTGGCTTTCCTGACCCAGACTGGCCTGCATGTGGCTGCAGTCCCTCACTAATGTTAACTGTCCTCTGAAATAGTCTCGCAAATCCCTCAGCTTTATCAAATATTAGGGGACAGACAATAATTGCTGACCTTGCCAAGGTTCCCCAGAACCTGGGAATGAATATTAAAAACTCTGGCTAGAAATGCTAGAGTTTAGTAACGGACAGTGTTCTCTTAGACTTTGATTTGAGATTTCCATTTTAAAATAGATTTGATAATAAACCGATATGCCGAAATAGTCACCATACCTTATTACCCAGCATTCAATGCATTCATTCGATGAATTACAAGCAGAAAAAATCAAAACGGGTGATATCAAAATTACCTTTCGCACAGAAATCTTTGTCAGCTCCTTCAGAACGTCCAATCAGATCATCGCCTCGCTGCTTCAGAGTTTCAAATGCTGGCTGCAGCTTCTCAAGTTCCATGGTCACATTCTTGTTTTCGCTGATCTGCTCCCGGATTTTCTCCACCTCTGCCGAGATGGAAGGTGGCTGTTGCAATCTAACAGCAATGCGCTCCAGTGCTTCAAGCATGGGGCTAATCTTGTCGTGGAACTGCAAGAGGGTGGAAACATCAGGGTCATTAATAGCACCTGTCAGAGCACAGAGCCTGAAGTACAAAAAGATGTGTGGCCATGTGCGGTCTCTCCTCCCCACCTTCTTACCTGTAGAGCTACATTCTCTTCCACATGACTTCTCTTAATTTTTGCAATATCTTTTAACAAAGTCTAAAACTCCAAGTATGTCGTACCCACTGCATTCCCTTTATTTATTTGCCAGATGATTTGCTGAAAGCACAATACTTTTCTATAAACTCATGCTGACTGGGTCTTGCTTAACTCCAGCCTTCTGAAGGAATTATTAAACCCATTCCTATTAGAAACTCCTGTGTCTACCGTTTTCCTTGGTTTCTCGCCCTAAGAATGGACTAGGGCATTTAGGAGCCATGAATTTGGATCTTGCACTCCTGAATAGTGCTGGCTTCAATCATTAAGGGTTTTAAGGACCATTTTATTGGATCCCATTATGGACACTGTAGATGTCTCAATGACCATTATATTTGCTTATTTGCAGCAGTTGAGGAAGTACTCCATGTTACCCAATTGTAACCCATTTTACTTTAATACCATATCCAAGTGGACTTCCTATAGACAACAGAGAAAAATAAAGCACAGAAGCAGGCCATTCATCACCTCATGTTTGTGCTGGCTCTTGGACAAAGCTATCCAATCAGTACTACTTCTCTGCTCTTTTTCAAATAGTCCTGCAGATTTACCCTCCAAAAGAGTAGGTATTGGCACGGACTTTCCTGGTTAATGTGTGCCCTGGGACTGAGTGCTAGCTCCTACTGAATTTTGAGAGATTGGCACAACTAGCCTAATACAGCTTTCTGCCAATTAACACCGAATGTACCTTTTCAGCAAAGGATCAGTGAGAAGCAAGTTTATGAAACTGAATTCAACCTATCCAGTTACTTTATGGGGATACATTGGGAAAAATTCAACAAAATAAATCAGAAACAGCTGTACAAGAGCGAAGTGGGGAACAGAGACAGACAATGCAAGGGGGATGAACAGGGACTGACAGGGCAAGGGGGCTGAACAGGGACTGAGAGAGCAAGGGGGTTGAACAGGGACTGAGAGAG